TTACCTACAGCAAGAGAATGAGATTTCCACCTTAGCAAACATCAGGTCCCCATTTCACCTACAACATTTCCTTCCTTTCAATGTCAGTGATACCAAGGCTTCTTTTGCGTTTAGTTACTTTCCATCCCTTACCTTGCTATCCCTTCATTTCTTCCTAGCTAGAAACGTACGACCATGGGAATGCCCTCTGTGGCCCACCCTCCGAGTTTTCCGCAACGTCCTCCACTGCTGCAAACACCCGGCCGCGGCAACGCTTTGCTCTCTTTTCGCCAAATTTCACTTACTTTTCTATCCTCTTTTTCTGATGGAATAATCCGTCCCATTCTTTCTTTTCCCATGGGACCCAAGGTTCGCGTTTGGTTCAAATCTTACTCAAATGTCTCCACTCGACGCACAAATCCGCTTTCTTCTTTTAGTCCCTGCTCCACGGACTTACGGGCTCCCTTGCCCATAATTGCTTTTCTCTTTTCCCTTCTCCTCATCCCAGGCTCCTTAGCGTCCTGTTCTGCAACAACTCGCCTACGCATCGATCGAAAATGGCCATGGGCTCTCTCGTTGGACTGGGAGGTCAACGGTGTCCTTAACGTTCCTTCCGCACCGTGCCCGCACCTACAAACTACCTACCTAGCTATCGTGAGTAGGGGCAAAGAGCAGCTCGGCTCGACGGAAAGGACGAGAGTCCCCCAGTGGATGTCTGTTGGGAATGTGAACGTCTGGCGCCGTCTCTGCTCATCAAGCGGGAGTCTAATTCCAAGCCAGCGGGATCTCGCTCATCGTTCGCGATATCGCTGCTCCAGTGGATGGACTTACACCTCGAAACGTGGACAATCCTGACACACCCCCTCCAAAGTCGACCACAATACCTACCGGCCTGGCGTTGCTGATCGTTGCACAGCTCACCAACTACTGCAAGAAGCAAGAGCCTAGCCTCATCCCAGCAAGCTGGTTAGGAGGTGGTCGCACCGTGATCGGCCGCGTAGACTTTGACGTTCAGCCGTATCCGCCATCACATCCCGCGATCTACGGTGCGCACACGCTACTTGTCGTTACCGCGGTGTGACGAGGCCGCAATACGAGGCCGCAACAAAAAGTGAATGTGTGATACCACAGCCCGCCGCCCTTGGTCCAAGCGACGCCAACGAGGTTTGACACATGTGCCAAGGTTTGTACATAATGTGACGTCGCAGTGGCCTTTTCTAACGTCTTTGCATCTCACCCCATCACACCAGCCCTGCCGAAAGACACGAGATCATACGTTTTCGGGCCTCCGGCTGTCGTCCCGGCTGTTCTCGCAGACCTGCCGCCGTGTGTTGGAGGCATTGCCACCAAAACCTCCATCAAACGAGGAAGGTGTGTGCAACTACTTGGTGCTTGGGGCAGAGTCGTTGTTGATCGGTGAGAGTATGGTGCCGCGGCTTATCCCGCCCTGGCTCAGGTGTAGCTCAATCCACACCGACCCATTCAATGGCAGGCCATCTTCGAAATGCATGTGGGCAGACTCACCGATAATCATCGAAGGGTCTGGATTCAGAAATCCCGATTCCATCGTCACCGAAATGTGAATCGACAATGTTAGCTGGCGCCGACCCAGGAGCACCATAAGACAATCTCATGTCTCACACATCTTGGTTTCAAATAACCAACAGGCGAATCGACGTGTCAATTGTTCTCGGCGAAATATCATTGTTGTCATTTGTGACCACCACTAGCGGAACACACAACACGCACGCTCTGAGCCTCCTCCCAGTGTCAACGACTGGTCATTACGGAGTAGTCACTACCTCTAGCCGACGTACCAACACACATCTCTCGGCCTTCGTCTAGCAGTCGACGCCTCCAACATTCGACCTGCATACTCTTGCAGACAGCTTTGTGCGTAACACTACGGATATTCAGTGTCAGATCCGGGGGCTATTTGGGAGCCTCAATGCCCACCTCCTGCGTGGGCCTCAAGCATACCAAGAGGCCGATGTGACCTGTCATCTCGTAGACGAGATGCGCGGTCGATCAGTCAGTCTCTCATCGAAAATCGGTCCATGCCCGGCATTGTCCCAGCCTCCGCTTCCAATTTCACGGAGGCGCAATCGAACGGAAGAAAGTGATCTGTCACATTGACTACATCTCCGGCTGCAGACCTTCACTACCCGCCCATTCAAAGACATTTTCTCCGTCACGATCACTATTCAACAATTCCGCGATTTGGTCGCGCTCAAAAATGGTGAAACCATGGGAAAGAGCGGCAATTTTCTTCTTGCAAGGATGTGGCAGCAGTAATTTGCGAAACTTCGAGAGGCTCTGCTGTTGGAAATTTCGACCAGCAAATTGCATTAGATCGGTAGCGTCTAGGTCAAGCACAACTGAGCTGCTCAATCTACCGCCCTTGCTTCGGGAAACTTGGCTGCACCAGTGTTGCCTGTCAAAAGATTCCATTGACTGCTCCAGAGCTGGCACCAAGTACGAGAACAAACAGGTTTTCAGCAATTCTTTCGCGTATTCCACGACTGCACATCACTAACGACGAGTCCCTTGCGGTGAGGGTACTTGCATTACATCTGCAAGCAACCGGAGAGACGTGGTGTTTTGGCAGCCTCCAGCTTTGATAGGCGTATGTCTCATCAAAACGCCAAACGACTGTCGCCAGGATCCTCAACAAGGACTACAACTGTTCCGCCTCCTCGTTTGGCTATTCTGGTTCATGGCCTAATTGATGGCTTGCCGCTCCAAGTCTCGAACTCAAGGTTCCTGACACATGGTAATCACCGCTTTTTGGGCAAGGCTAAGAGGTAATGATTGATGCAAGACTAGGATTCAAGTCTCAAGACAGCCCCATTTGAAGCTCCATCGGATCTACGAGCGATCCCTCCCTCAATCTCCTGATCATCTCCATGGAAAACACCAAAACCTCGGTAACATGCTCCTGGACGACAGGCATACCTAGCTAGTCTTCCAGACTGTCGGAACCGCCCGCAGCAACCCGAACAGTGTACCACATGGCCAGTCACAAAACCGAGAGGCAATGGCGGGTTGTTGCATCTTCATCACTATGAAGTAACCAGAGGCTCGATTCCCAACGGTACTCTTAGATTGAGAGAGATCTCGATGATGCCCCCACCAAACGACTTTCACAACTGACAGAACAACCGCATGTCTCACTTCCCGAACCCTTGCGCTTTGCATACGTACTTTAGGTACCTTGGACACCTTTGCCATGGCCAACTCCTATTATTACTCGAGGGCTAGGCGCTTGGTGATAGCCTTGTTACACCGCCCTAGTTCCCGCAACGCCAGGTAACCACCAATCGCCTGTCTCAATATCAAGCCATAGTACTGTCAACTTTAATTTGGCGACATTTGTACTCGTTGCGGACAGGAAGATGGCCGACTTCCGATGGCTACGAGTTGAATCAACTGGTCCTGGCTTCTGCGTGACGGCTCGAGGGGATGGGCTATTGAGATGCCTACTCAAACCTGCAGCCGAGGCTGCTTATTCCGCGACGAACCCCCTTGGTCGGATCAGTCACACCAGCAAATCTATCCCCGGTGATAACTGACAAGTTGTCTACTGTCGGGCCGCGCCAGATACCATCTAGTCCGGCGCTATGATTGTACATGACGGCCATTGTTCCTTTTTTGTCTTACAGACATGCAAGATGAAATGGCTTCATTGGATAACTTTGGAACAATCTTTCTTATTCTACGTTATGACTTGTCTCACGACCAACGGCCACACTGGGGACCTCGCCTTTTGGCTATACCATCACGCCCGCCACAGCGGGTTGAGACTTCCTGGGGATCGGCGCACTCCCGCTTAGCTTCATCTGTTCTTATCGATGGCTTGCTTCCTTATGCCGAGCCTGCAGCCCACAACTGGTGCCACCGGGTTAGGTATCCAGGCAGGAAGGGTTGCCAATCGTGCATCTTTCGGTGCCAAGCCGCAAGAGCCGGGCAGGGCTGCAGCGTCGTCTGTTGAGCCCTCACCAGGGTTGAGATTGTTGCGGGTGGGGTTCATGAGAGCCCTTCATTCGTCGCAGACAACCAACGCGTGATGGCGGACAGAAGCAGTCTAGAACCTTGCCTTTTACGAGCAGAAAGTCCAGCTGCAGTCAGTCCTCTTGGCACGGGAGCGGTTGGAGTCACAACCAGAGTCGTTACACGGCGGCTCAACGAGGGCCGACTCCCGTCGAAGGAGCGGCAACAGAGCGGCAACAGAGCGGCAGGAGGAGGACATCTTTTTTTTTTTTTTTTGATCCATTGTTGACAGCAGGGAATGGAGTCTACCGATGGCCGGATATGATGCCCCGTCAACTCAGAACTCGTCGCCGTCATCAGCCATTTTTCTTCCTTCCAAGGTTACACAGTGTCGAGAATCATATTATCCAACCTCGATGAGAGAATTCCCTTGGTCCGCGAGTCTATTGTCTTCCTTCCCGGCGTCGTACAACCAAGAAGTACGTCTGCCCAGGTGCGACGTGAGGCAGAAAAGCAGAATCTCGTTCGTGGTCCCACGACATGCTGCCATGGGGGAACCGACAGCTACCCTGATGGTCATGACCCTTGCAGAGAGATAATACGCCAGACAGGGGGAAAAAAAAAGAGGTTGTTATGGCGATACGCCCGACATGTCATTGACGAGATTCATTGTTCGTTCTGCATGTCCCGATACAGGGTCTGGCAGGTATCCGCTTCCCGTCTACATTGCAGTGACAACCCGTCGTATTTGACTGCTACACAGCAATACAGGAGGACATCCTCACAAGTTCGCGTTGGTCAATACTCAAATATGACAGATCTTTCTCGGCGGGCGGCGGTCAAGCTTCAGGATGGCCGGCAACAGGTTGCCCCCCCCAGATCCGGTCACGTTGGACAACAAATGAGACCGTTTAGGGAGGGAGCCGTTGACAGAAGAGACGGGAATGGTCACACGGAAGCGACGACATGTCACGGATTGGGGCTTTAACGGGCCCCCCCCCCCCCCCAAAAAACAGAGTCTACATGTGTAGGTGAGATACCTTGGATTTGTTCATTTCCTCTCCACTACGAACGATACGGTAGGTTTTTGGGTTCCATCCCGCCTCGCGCTTCTCTGCGTCAAGATCGGCGCCCCACAGGTTTGTAGGTTTGTATGTGTGCTGTTCGTCCTTTTGCGCCCTGTCTTGTATCTCATGTGTGTGTGTGTGTGTGTGTGTGTGTCTTATCTCAGTGACCTTGAGACAATCCTTTCCCACCAGCGTATAATCCTGTCTCTTGATCTTCTGACCTCATCAAGAGAGGGGGTTTTCCTTCTCTCACACCACCGCCGCCGCCGCCCGGCCCCAAAATAAGGAAATGACTCTCTCATGACTCTGAAATGACCTGCTTTGTCTCTCCCGCTGGTTTTCCATCCGATTCTCAATTTTTTGCCTCTCGATCAAAACAGGAGAAAAACTCCCCGAGACACACAAAGGGAACCTCTCCGAATATACCGCGTACGGTGTATGCTCAGAAGAAAAGGAAATTATAGAATAAAAGAAAATTGTGGCTTGATAGGGAATAAAAAACCTGAAACTCTAGGTTGTAGCAGGGGGAAAATAGGTATCGCTTGCCTCGAGAAAGGAAAGAAGAAGAAGAAGAAGAAGAATACGAATGAACGCCATGCCAACGCCCAACTAGCCAACTGTGTTATGCAAAAAAAAAGTTATCAGAGCCTCCCATGGAAACCCGCAGAACCAGAGAGAGAAAAAAAAAAAAAGGAACAAAAGGAAAGAAAGGCTTTCCCTGCTAGAATGTCTGCCACATCGCGCGTTACAGCATTTTCGCTTCTGCCCCTAGGCCGGGTACGGTATACGATATCACGGACAGACGGACGGGACGCGCGGGTCTCTACCGCACCACCTTGTCGATCTTTACGAGCAGCTTACCACCTTCAATCGGCCTGTTCTTGGTGTCCATGAGCCTGATGAAGCGATAACCGGGACGTAGACGGTCGAGGCGGATACATGCCCACGAGAGAAGCTCGTCGCCACCGAGGAGTGGATCATCCTCAATCTTGAATCTGCGCGGTTCAAACACAAGTCAGTAAAAAAAACATTCTCATTACTTTTTTTGGCCATGGCTATTCGCAGGATGCAGAGAAGCGGGAGAAAAAAAGAACAACGTTGCGGTGTGCGGCGGCCCGGGCTGTCAACGCAGCGGCCCGCATGGTAGGTGAGTATTGACGGGTCAACGGTTCGTGAACGGGTAGGGGACGGCGACACGGCATGGAAGAGGGACAGCTCGACGACCGACTTCGTTCCACGAGCATACCCGTCTCGTGCCTATGACGAAGAGCGGCGACGGGTCCCGGCATGGCATCCGAGGATGAATCAGGCCATTCCCGGGGGTCGGGGAGCCGTCACGACTTCGGACAACGTTACACCGCCGGAGGTGTTCAGGTCTTGCAGGTCGGGTACGCCGGCGCGCGGGAGGGTAGGCGCGGAGCCGCGCATATCCTTCTCGCCGTCTTCTCGAGTTGTAGGATCAAAAGATCGTCAAGGCCCGTAGGCCCAGACATGCCGCTGCCGGGGGAAGAAAGAGAGCAAAACATGAAGGAGACCGTGACTTTTCTTACCTGAGGAAACTCAACTCCTCCACCACCCTCGAGATCTTGGGGAACTTGAGCCGTGCTCCATTCTCCCACTCGGGGTGGTCAGTCTTTCTCGACCCCGTCTTGAGCTTGAAGTCATCTTCGTCCGCAGCCTTTCCGTTCTGCGCTCCAATCTCGACGTGAAGCTCGCACTTGACAAATGGCCGGAGGTGCTTACCGCGGCTGCTGTCGCTGGCAGAATCGTCGTCGACAAAGATGTGCTGGCCGGCGATGATGGTGACGGTGAGCTCCAGGTCGCCTTGCGGCGCGGCGTCGACCTCTGTCAGCGTGTCCTTGTCAGTGCTGCGGTATCCAACGGGCTTGAGGACCCATCCCAGCTCGTCCGCGAACATGCCCTCGTTGAGCATCATTCCTTCGTCGAGATATTGCCAGTTCAGAGCAACCATTTGCACGCCCTTGCGCCAGAAGAGACTGGGGTCCGGGTTGGAGCTGTCGACACGCGAGCCGTTGGGGAATGCTCGCATGAAGAAGTTTTTGTTGTGCGTGAACATCTCGCGGGCCTTGGTCGTGTGCAGTTCCAGGATCCTGTTCTCACTTATCGAAAAGATGTGACTCGGCTTCTTAGCCGCCGGTGTTTCAAAGCTCTTGAAGTGCTCGCTGTGAGTGTAGATAGCCAGACTGCTGAGTGCCTGTTCTCACTTATCGAAAAGATGTGACTCGGCTTCTTAGCCGCCGGTGTTTCAAAGCTCTTGAAGTGCTCGCTGTGAGTGTAGATAGCCAGACTGCTGAGTGCCTGGCAAATTGCCACCTTTGTGCTCTTGGCCGGCTCGTTTCCACTATGGACCTTGGCCGGGGCATCAAACTTGGGTGTCATGGGTGGTTTCGGTGTCTCTTGCTTAGGTGCCTCCCTGTTGCGTTCATCGTCGGAACCCGAAGCGTCCTCGTCGTTGGCAAACACTTGAGAGAGGGCTGTCGTGCTGGGAGGCACCTCAATCTTATTAGGCGCCTTCTTGACCTTGACCAGGATCTTGCGCTTGAGCTCCTCGAGCTTGGGGAGGCGGAACCGGGGATCAATGCCCTCCCACGACTTGTCAATCAACATGCCTTCCCACTCCTCCTTCATGATCCTGACCATGACCTCCTGCTGCTCCTTGTCGGCATGGACCTCAAGACTAACAATCAGGGGTAATTCGTTCGTCTCGAAGGCGGACTCGCGAACGGCCTTGCAGACCTCTCTGAAGCCACAGGGAGTTGTCAAAGTCCAGCCATGAGTGACAATGGGCTCATCCTTGGGATACGGCAGGCGATTCTTCATAGAGGGAGTCGGCGATGAGGGCCGTAGGGTTTTGCCGAGAGAGTCGGTGGACTCGCTCGGTCCCAGGAGAGTGGCACTATCGCGAGGATTCAGAGATTTGCTGGCAGTGCTGGTGTTTCTGTTATGGCCATTGCCGTTCGTGCTGCGTTCGATCAGGAGATCTTCCACCGTCTCCTTGACGCTCGCAGCCACGTTGGGAAGGGAGGAGCCAGACAGATTCCTCGAGTGATCAGGTTTGGGAGAGCGGCTGCCCTCTTGGGTGGTGATGGGTGTGTCTCCGTTCCAGATATCAATTTCGATACACCGACATCCACGGCGAAGGACCTGCAGTTCACATGTTAGAAGTTATGTCTCTTTGCTGGGCGAATGCTGGGCGAATGTGAGCTCAGAAAAACATACAGTTTTGTAAGCCTCGGGTGAGCTCCTGGAGGCAAGCTGGTTGCCCTCCAAGTATGTGTTGTGGCTGCTGCTGATGAAGTAGTTCGTAATGGGCCGGCTCAAGTCCTTGTCCCCCTCCTTTATTGGGCGGGTGGCATCCCAGCCGTAGTTTCTCCACCACAATTCGAGGAACTCGCCATAGTTGTATCGTTGCTGACCCTCAGGCAATACAGCCTCGACATCAGTCTCGCCCTGGGTATTCTCGAGGAATACGAGTAGTTGGTCGCGGGTCACAAAAGGTTCGCGGGATAGTGAAGAGCGGCGGGAGCGTAGGTCGTTGAATATCTTCTCGAAACGTTCGCGAATGGCCTGGCTGAGCAGGATCTCATCGGGGCTGGGCGAAACTACTGCCTCCTTGGGGTCCGATGCGGCCGATGACGAGGACGAAGGGTCGGTAGCGCCGTCGACGTTTGTGATATTGATGAGGGGCATCGGCCGGGGAGCGGGCTGGAAGTGGAAGCCGTCTCGTGTAGGTGCCAGGATCGTGGTGAGGCCAACCATCTTCTTGAGGGTATTGGCGGAGGTCTTGTTGGAGGAGGACCATAGCGGCATCGTGAGGGTTCGTTTCTTTTGTGTCTTTTCGTTGCTCGGGGCGGTCTTGCGGCGCCAGAACTGTCAAGATGTGTGAGTCTTTGTGCGATGATTGACCACGAGCTCGAGGCCAGTGTCAAAAGGCTTTGAGAAAGTGCAGGAAAGGCATCATATGCGGGCGTTGCCAATGCCGGAGCCTTGCATTGAGCGCACAACCCCTACGGGATATGGTGAGAGACGTACAGAGAGACACATGGCGGGCGAGCTGCAGCGGCTTGATAGCCTGCCTCCGGGTCAAGTCCTCTTTCTCTATGTGTGTGTGTTGGTTGACCGAATCGATCGTGCGTACGGCTGACGGATTGTCGTCGCGGGAGGGGGTAATTCTTTGCTCAGTCAAGCCTACTCTGGTTCTAGGGGTCAGAGGGGTACGGCTTCGGAGAGCGTATGGATATGATCATTAGCCCATTGGAGGGACAGGATAACAAATGGTTACGGAGACGAAGGAACGGAGTTGTAAGAATACGGGTTGTCGTTGAACGAGAGTTTAGGATTATTTTCGAGGGATTCGAGGAAATTCGAGGAACGAAGGCATTCGAGAGACAGTAAAAGGGTAATTTCAACGAGAGTAGGAAGCGTGGATATGCATGTCAGCATAGCTGAGAACATGGGTGGGCAGGGAAGTACCTACCTTACTGTGGTGTAAAGTGTGATCCAGCGTGATGGGGTTCCCGTTCCGTAGCACTTGGAGCCCTTTGGAGAGCACTTGCAGGGCACTTGGAGGGGGACAGCCTCGTCTGATGGGTGTGCTGAACGATACAAGTAGCCAATGGGAAGGGGCCAGCACTGCCCCCGATGGTTTGGATCCCTGCTGTAGGTGGTCCCGAGGGCCCTGTCGAAGGTGCCCTCTAGCGTGGTGTTCCTTACCTCTACTGCCTGTTGAGATGGAAACTGGAGTGAGACTCTTCTCAGTCTCTGCCAGAATTAATTGAGACATTGAGGGACGGCCTCCTCGGGATCCACGTCCTTGGTTCTCGAGCTGGCCTCTGCATCTCGACTTGTTTCGTTTTGTTGTTGATCACGTCGGAGCCCGCGTCTCTTCCCCATTCTCCCTCGACTTAGAAATGTCGGCCATTGGACGAGAGTGACGCGTACCGCATAGTTTCTGTCATGACTGTCTGTTTTGAGTACCTGATATGCATGATGATTGTCAGACTAGAGAGTGCCAGGCCTAAGGCACATTTCCCGACGCTCATGATCTTCTTCGAATACTGAAAAAACTAAGTGGTGATGCCTTGTTTTCAGAGGGGCGGAGTCTGCGCGTATGTGTGTGACTCTCTCTGGTCTTCTCCCTGCATCGCGAAGCGGAGCGTCACACTGAATCCATCTGCAGATGGCTAGTCTTGGCCCCCAATCGCAGTCTGCCCTGTCTGTCTTACGGGGTGCCTCTTTCGGAACCATTGGACGTGAGCCTCGATTTATCACTGACAGATTGGTGTCGCTTCGTAGGGCACACTGGGAGGCTCAATGCCCGACGTACTTTGGCTACTACATAGAAGAGCGCTCAGCCCATTTTCGCCTGCCACAAGATGCAGACTGCAGCAGCACCTTAGCATACAACTCACCATGCGTCGTTTGCTGTGCTGCGCTGTGCTTCCATCGCTGTGCTGTCCTCGCGAGATCGAAGCATTTCATGCTATACCTACTGTCACCGGTCCCGGCAAAACGGCAGTACGGCTGATGCTTCGAGACAATTGTCGCCTGCTAGCCAGCCTTGCCCCTATTCAATATTGACGTCTCGCAGTCCCCCGTTCGCGATGCGCTAAACATAGCATCCGTACGGATACAGCGGGTGGAAACCATCAGTGTACGGATAGGCCCTAGGCAAGCTAGGGTATTTCGTACGGATACCTTATGTCGTAACTAGTGGAGGCGTTGCCGCTTCGTATGGAGGGAGGGATGATCCCCCTACAAAGTGATATCATGACCATGCTAAGGTCGAGGGAATAGCTCGCTAGGCAGCCATTAAACACGGCGACACGCCAGAAAATGTGGAAAGAGCTGAATGAGAGTGACACAGTATGTGACAGAGTCTCCAGGGCTCAGAAGTCTGGAAACCCAAGCATTCTCAAGTGGTCTCCACTTGGCCTGACAGAGCCTTGGGGCGGTTTTCTTCCGTCGAGCCGTTGTCTATGTTCCACTTCAGTGCATAGGTCCAGCCTCGGAGGGGCGTCAAGTCTGTCACCCGCACGCCAAGGATTGAGGGAGCGTGGTGGCATGGCGGGGCCTGTGCCGGTGCTCCGAGTTTGTCTGCTTGCTGTTGCTGCTGCTGGCCACCAAGCCACGCATTTCCCACCGGCGCCTATGCATCTCTTTTGCTCGGCTGCCGCCGCTGCGCCTCCCGGAAACCACCGTCATTTCAATCGCCACACGGCATCGGGGCACTCGGGGCATAAGTGGGGGACGGGCACCCAAAAGTCGGCTTCCCCCACACTGCAGCCGACTCTCGAGACCTGAGTACGCGGACCACCACCCTCCCCTCTGGGCACCCGACCCGGCGTTTCTAAACATCGACTCCCGTACTGAACTATCTCAATGAGGCTCCTCTCAACTCGAATCAGCTCAGTCTTCAAAGGAGAACATACCTGTCAGCTGCGGAATCGCCGACGAACAGCTCTCGGACCCGGTCGACTGCACAGAGCTCGACATCTGATCTTCTCTGACGTAATCGCAAGCTTTCTTCAGTCTGCCTCCGTCGCCGTCGCCGCCACGCCACGAGCGAACTTCTCGACTTTGCCTTGCGCACATTTACCCCTCAGCTTCAAGCCAGCAATCGCCCAGTATTGCAGCCATGCCTTCTAAGCCCAATTCCCAGCGTGATAGCGAGTCCGAGGTTAGATCTTGGGGGTTTCCTCATGTCTTCACTTGGACCGACGGACCGTACGTGATGCCCACTGCCTTTTTGCCTTTCCTTCTGGCCTGCCCCCAAGCGAAAGCCAAGTATGCACGAACTGACGATCAAAGCTCAGAAACGCGCACTACTCCCCGCATTCGCATCGTGGTCTGACGACCCATCTGATCCTGCGTGGGAACCTTACCATTACTTATCCCAAGGACAAGAACCCCGACAAGGTTACTTATGGCGTCGGCGATCGTATCGACGTGGACGCCGGCCGCGTGCATGAAGTATGGATTGGCGATGAGGGTTGTACCTATGTCATTGGGGAATGAGGCGGAAGTCTTTGGTGACCGTGTCTTGCTTCTGCAATGTTGCTAGATCACGGCTGTTCTGCGAATTCAACGTGGTGCGTTAAAGTCAAGCACGACAAGCTCTTCCCTGGCATGCAGAGTCTGAGCAGGCTCATATCCCTCTCCCATTCTCTATTATTGGAGGGAAAGAGATATGGGCCGAAGAGGCCGTTAACCTGTGGTGGGATAGATGGAGCTTCCCGCCAAAGTCCAGATACCTGGTATCGACATCAAACGTGAAATTGTCCGATTTGACTTTGAAAACCCCCTCAGGTGAGATTCATGCCCGACTTGGACCTCCGAACACCCGGTCAGAGCTTTGGTCCCCTTATTTGACGGTCTGGTGCCCTATGAGACACCTTCACACATGTTCTCTCTGGTAATGAAGCAGCCAGGCGCCCTTGGCGTAATAGATCTCGACTATATCTGCGATGGTCAGCCTTCGTTGTCCAACAGTTAAGTCTGGAAGAAAATGGATCCTCAAGCGTATACAATGCGCTCCCCAGCCGATTTGCCCAAACCCCATCGAACAGGATCAGAAGACCAACTCCGTGAAAGCGCCAACCTCAACCCGCAGTGGAACTAGTGCTTGTGTTTTGGACCAGGGCAGAATAATAGAATTTGTCCTCTCGCCGTGAGGGAAACGACTTTGAAACATGGAGAAATCCTTTGCCCGTGCACCAGGGCCTTGAGGACCGCCCCGACTCGTTCAGGAGCATGGCGATCAAAACGTTCCGGAAGGCCATGGAACCTGCCCAACCACCTTGGCCACGAGGCAGCTTCGTCTGTTCAATGCAACAGCTGACTCGAGTTTTGGGTAGGTATACCTGCATGCTTGTAAAAAATGGTGCATACTGTCGAGCTTCAGTATCGGCGTCCTCAATGTGTCCTCCGAAAGAGGCCATGGTTTCTGAAGCAAGATACGTGACCAGGAGGCTAGGCAACAATGCTATCGATTACACGCCGCTTGAGAAAACTTGGCTGGGGTCGACGGAAGCGTGCTTGTTCTCTGCTAGATCTCCCGCTTCACTGATGGATGACAAGCTCAAACCAATCGAGGCTATCTCGTAGAGTCTGTTCCCGCTTGGATAGTAGGCGAGCGATCAAAGCTCTGTAGCCCAGCAGTCCGCATCTTCAGGCTGTCTGTGAGCGCTTGGACGCCCGAATTTCGTCCGTCTACCTTCATCTCATGGCCTTCTTCCCGGCGGTTGGCAGCAGTATTTGCGACAGCAACTGTCTGGCTCCAGGCATGGGTTTGGACGATGGCTCCTAGTCCTAGAGGCCCCAGAGAAGCTTCGAATCATTACCGACCTCCTGCAAGGCTTGACTCGAGACCAGACGACCGTGGTTTAGTAGTCTGCGAGATGTTGCTCGACTTCGCTCACTCGCTGGCGGAAGGGGGGAAAACCATGGAAAGGTCCAATCCTTTGATCATGTCTGGGTTGTGAAGGAGTGCGTGCGATGAGTCGCGTACTCTGTGACGTGGACCACGCTTGTGCAAGTTTCGCATGAGGTTGAGTTTGGTCATATAGCCATGTTTTCTTTCTTCCCGAGTAGCGACATATGTCGTGCGCAGGTCAATTTTGAGGTGCCTACGTTGTAATTCAATCTCTTGAAGGGGATAGAGAGGCGCGGGGAACAATCTCGCCCAAACAGCGACGGCTCGCGGCGCGGGCATTTTTCAGGTTGCATGATCATCGGGCCTTATTTTATGGAGCTTGCCGTGCCGACATCTGCAGTCTGCTCCGAAGCTGCTCCGAAGAGGAACATACCCCGTCGGTGCTGCTTGATCATCATAGTGGCTCCGACTCCTTGTGATTCGACAGGTAACAATCGGGTGTTTGAAGAAACTGCATTAGCTGGGTCCAACGGGGAGGAGTCCCACGCGTGAGCGGGCAGTATCAGACGGTGAATGGCATTTGATCATGTACACCGTAGAGTTCGTTCACACAAGAACTCATTCTTACATAACATCCTCCACCAGCGGGCAAAATAGACAGTCCATAGACAAGGATGGCGCAGATAAACGTCGTCGGGAAGAATCCGTAGTCCAATCTAGAAGTCTCAGTGGTGCTGCGGGCAGGTGGGGTTCGGGTCGATAGCAGACGTGATAAGTTTGAACGGCGGAAACACCGCCCATCGCTTAAGCCAGGTGAGCTGGCGAGGTAGTCGATACTTCGCTGGTGGGCATCGATCGCTCCCACGCGAACTGGTATGGTCCTTGGACTGTGAGAGATCCTAGGGAACACCCGTCTGCTGCGTCGGCCGAACGAGAAAGAATTGGTGGCGTGTCTCGGGGAGTATGTGCTGTTAACGTTTGGTACCAAATCCAGAGCGAGTCGAGCGGCACAATTACCGGTCGACGCTGGTACGGACGATGGATTGCGAGCGGGGGAGTTGCAGTGCATAGCAGCAACGTGTGTCTCGTTTCCTTCCATGTCCGAGGCTGGTACGGATACTCCTGGCTAGGCAAGGCCAGGCATGCTAGGATACAATTACGGCGCCTAGATGGAAAGAAATGCGCGCACTTTTGGCGATTACAACCGTGCAACGCCACTAGTATTTTGTCCGCAAAGACGTGACCCGTCACCCTTGCTGTCAACCCGGCCATTCGGAAAATAGGTGATGGGAGCATTCGTACTCCGTACTCTTGTGCAGCCATTGCAGAACGAGAATGACCAATCTCGATCATGACCGTTGCCCGTGTCAGCTAGCGGGCCACTTCGCAATTCAGCGTGGGCAGCCGAGCCCGAAAACAGGGCATCTGTGTCTACATGACGTTCCCAACACGTGGTTTACAAAATGGGCCGGAGCATCCTTCGTTGACCATCTCCGTTTGGTGTGGAGGACCGGTACCACTGGAAACCGGCGAGGCATATTGCAGCTTCGGAAAATGAGCTGTGTATGATGAAAGATTGATGAGTCGTCTTTTCTCTTTTGTCTCTCGGTCTTTGGTGCTCTAAATGAGGAAGCAGCCGGAGTAGGAAGGGCAATTTCGCAGGCCCCTGAACCTTGTTTGTCAGGGCGACAGAGCTAATTCAAAGTGGGGGAGATTGCCCGCCCTTGGTGTCTGGTGAGGCTATCTTGGGCGGGGAGCAGATTCTCCATACCAGAGCATTCGTCTCGCGGGCCGTATCGCAGGACGGCTGATGATGTATCTTGTGTCGGTGTCTTGGGAGTTGCCGGAAATGAAAGACAAAGTGCGAATGTCTCGGTCATCTGAGCAGAACAGCAGGATAATGGCGTGCCAAATAGAGTGCTTCGATGCAGGAAACGAATACGCTGCTTGACCCTCGTCTGAATGTCGACACCTAATTCCTCAAGTTTTGAGTGCTATCGCAACAAGCGACACTAGAGCGAGAGTGACGACTCTGACGAGCCGGTTTCGGGGAGTGGGTGGTCTCAGATAGCGTTGTCCGACGTTGAAAGAGTGGCTGTTGGCAGCCGATGATCGACGACGGGCATCCCTTCGCATGCACGAACTGCATCGGGGATGTTGGGGACTGGTGCTGGCCTGACCAAGCATGTTGCCTGAGTTGCGGGCAAGCCGGGGATCATTGATGAGGATATGCTGGTCTTTGCAAACTTCCGATTGACCCATCAAGTCAAGTGGCACAATCTGAAACGGGCACACTTTCTGAGAAGATCTGAGCCTCAGACGAGGGATATGGCACACCGCACGACGGAAAGGTGACGGATGCTGCCACATTACTGCTTACACTAGTGCTGCGTAAGGAATTCGTCAAGGTTGGTTTGGGCTCGATTGTGGTTGAGAGGGAGATGCATGCCGCGCAACAGAGACAACCCGGACTGCGGCCGAGATGGGACAAGCAGAGATGAACGCTTGACTTGTCGTGCTGGTCCACGGGCACGCAAAGGTCGTCAAGAGGAGCGAGTAGGTATCCGTAGCAGCGACTGTGTCTTCCTTCCGGTCTCTGCCTCTCCATGGGAGAGGGGAAACATCCTTGTTGGCACCTGGCCATTGTAAGAGGTTGGCGTCGCAACCCCGTACCCCGTACGAAAACGAGGCCACGGAGAGATGGCAAGTGACCGGACCAGCCAACGCAAGATCTGGTATTGGTATGCTGGATCAAGGCAGAGAGACAGTGATGTCCCGATTCAGGCGGTTCTCATGTAATGTGATGATGAAGGACGGAACTTGGAAGCGAGTCGGCATCGGAGGAATAGCTGAGGTGCCTCACTGAAATACGATGGATGCAATGGATTAAGGTAGGCTGGGCATCATGTTTGGCCTTGGAAGGAGATCGAGAGGGCATGAGGTGCCTGCCTGTCTGGACAAGCGAACCAGAATCAACAGCAATCTGGGCGAGGCAGGAACTCGATGGCAAGGTACGCAAGGAAGGAGGAGTAGGAGGTTGAGGTTACGTTCAGAAGCACCTGCCTCAGCAACGTGGACATAGCACGCCGCACGACACACGAAGCGCCGGCAAGAGGAAGGCGGCACGCACAAAACCAGGAGCAGGAAGGAGCAGTAACAAGATAGGTACCTCACGAGGGAGGCAGGAGCGTCGCAACGTGGTGGCTTGATCTAGAATCTGCGAATGTGCCCATGTAAGCGGGGGAAAGAGCTCTTCTCCGCATTCACTTACCAACCTTTTCGACCATCTTGTTTTATTGCTCCATGTCCGTACTTTGCTCTACTTGTTCAGATGCGGCTTCCTCATGGGAACATTGACCGAAAGTCGAAAAGACAAATCCCAGAATGGCGGCATGGCTGCAGGGCCACCCAGTATGGCGGAGGTACATATCCGGCACTTGGGCCTTGTTTTGCGCCCTCTTCAAGTAACAAGGCCCATCTAGAACACCAGCCGGCATATACCTCAGCTCAGATAACGACGCAGATGGCCTAGCTCGCGCCTTCACAGCTTGCCTACTGGACAAGATTAGGACACGGCCACGAGAGATCACGACCTATATTGATGCCGGCTGGACCGCCACTACGTGACAAGACGTCCTTCCGGGTCCCTAGCGGACGGGAATCCACGAGAGACAGCTTTGGAGCCTGAGCGATTGGCTTCCCGCTAAAACAAGTTCAAGACGCCGTTCAGAGCGAGTCTGACGCCCCCAAATTCCCCCATCCAAGCGGATCAAGACCTTGAGATTGGGACTCTGAGGGAAAGAGAACCTTGGACCTCATGGCGTGCGAAGCGGGCAAGCGGGGTCGACCCGGTTCTGGGATCCCGAGCTGCTTGACGACGCCAAAGACGGGCAAGTGCAAGCCACCATGCATTTCAAGTGCTAGTTTCCTGCCTTCCATCGTCTCAAACGTACAGCTCATCAGCAACCACCAAGCTAAGCTGAACTGAAATGATGATGACGACCAAGAGATGCCAACTCCGAAGAATCAGGGTCTCTGCAGCAATGGCTAAAGCTTACGGTGCAAACTACCTTACATCACCTCCATTCTAGAGCTTTATTGACGACAACCTTGACGGCTTTGGGTACGGAGTACACCACGGATATACGGATAGTCATCGGTGAACCAAGACAGAACCCCGATCCAGGCGTCACGTCGTCGATTAAACTCCAATCAACTTTGCCGGATGCATCGTCCACTGGCGTCCGAGCCACAAGTGCCACACTCCCTCTTGCCGTGTTGGTTCTCCGTTTCTCTCTCTCTCTTCCTCTCTCCTGTCGTCCTCTCTCGGTTCACTTACACTGACACTCCCTCCAGCTGAGCTTTTGCTTCTTGAGTTACCTACCCGCCCTAGCGCATCAAAGACATGGAATGACGCCTTGCCAGTCCCCTCGCATCATTCTCACCTCATATCCCGTCTGCACTCTGCCCGTCTGCCCGTCCGCCTGCTATGTACATCTCGGACGCTCCTAATCTAACCCCACCCTGGCTTCGCTTGGTCAACCCGATTGTATCGGATCATTTCAGTAGACCATTATTGCAGCTTTTGTCCGGAGCGGAGGGGCTAGAGAGGGGCAATGAGTGTCCGTAATCCGTAGGTATTTGCCAATAATGCGCCTGCGCACAGCCAGCTGCGCAGAAGCCTTTCAGCAGCCACACAAAGACAACTTGTACATGGACCGGACTGGACGGACGGCCGTGGCTGACCCCAGATAACAGGTACGGAATACGGATACCTGCTGCAGTTGCAGTCGCAGTCTGCAAGACGCCGGACTGGTAAACGTTTTGCTGGTTGCACAAACCACCATTCAAAGATTGGGGGCTTGTGGATAGAGGCTGGACGCCCCGTCGTGGAGTCTTTTCAAGCGCAGGACAAGGGCAATCTTTAGTCTCGTCTCCGCCAAGGTTGTAATACCCAGGCCCCGGCCAGACCGCAAAATGGCATCAATCAGACGAAATACCATAACTAATCATCATCCATCCCGTCTGGATGTCCATCCACCATGGGCCATCCACCATCTTGAACCGGGCCGCGCCCACAAGAAGAACTGTCGCCGGTACACGGTACCTTTGGACTTGTTTTGCTGGCCTTGTTCTCACCTTAACCTTCACCTTACCTCAGCCATCCAACATTGCCAATCACCGTCTCGTCCTCTTGGTCTCTTGTGTCTCGCCTCCGCCTTTGCTGGGTCCTCGATGCAACTTGATGCCGCTACACCCTTGCGGATAGCCGTCCGACACTACTTGGCACTCTTTCTCCCTCCCTACCCTACCCTACCACACCAACGCACCTCTTCATCCACGTTCCGCCGGCCAAGACGCATGCCACTACAGCCCTGCATGGGCCAACAACGAGCCAGTCTTGGAACTTGGAACAGCCCTGCCCATTCGCTGCCGCAGGCGGTACTCTACCCTTTTCCGCCGTGCCCCAACCCACCTTGCGCGTCTCAAACCATGTACGTCGTCACCGTCAGTTCCACCTCCTGGTTTCCTGTCGGTGTCCATGTCCATCTCTCAGATGCCATCTGAGGCCCATTCCTGCTGCACTCGCACCGGCCCTTGACCGTCGCTGTCCGTCCAATACTCCCCAGACAGAGACACCTGTTCCCGCATATGAATGCCTGCCGCTGCTGTATAATCCTGCACAACTCGCCACTGACCCTGGCAACTGACTCTGTTAACAGACCAGGCATTCCCTTATGTGGAGTTGGCAAAATCGATAGACGCTTCGCTCGGTCTGGTCCGGTGGTAAATGCTCAGACCCATGCCACCTCTTCTTTAATTGCGCCTATCCCACCTTCTACCACCGCCTTTCTCTCTTCGTGCTGGTCTCCGGCGGTGATCAACTAGACTCCTCGAGCCTCCCTCCCCCTTTCCTTCTTCCTTTCACTGGTTGCGCCTGCCCCCATTGTCGCCTCACAGTCTATCTACTTGGAAAGGAGCATCGTTCAGGGCGCAGCTCACAAAGGGTCGACAAATATCAGACCATCTCGCCATTCTCACTACCGCAGATAGTACTCGAGGATCGCTCAACCTACAATCCACCACCCACGAAGTAACGTTGATAATTTCAGAACAACTCGCGCGGCATGGCAGTTTCAACAGTGTCATCGTAACCAAATTCTATCGGCTGGCCGTTTCGAGCACTGCCATCCGCAACCCGTACCACTTCGAGGCGATTTTCTCTACTTTTACTAGATTGCAGACTTTTTGTCATCTGGTTGAGGACTAGGGAATCGTCTCAAAATTCCACCTTTTAAACGTCAAGATGGGCAATGCACAGTCTACCGAGACGCATCATGATTCACATGTGCCAGGTGGAAGCAGCAGCAGAAAGTCACCTCACAAGTTATCGAAACCTAGAGTCGGCAATCATGCCTCTCCCACACCCCAATTACCGGGCCCCAGCCAACTAAGCATACAACGTGCTGCATCCGCCAGTCTGCCACCCTCTCGATCGAATTCGCGACTTCTGCCTGGGCAAAATTCGCCTGCACCGTCACCTATTTCTGCAACCGCCGGATCTCAGCTTGGTGCAGTCGCCCGAGCACCCAGCACCGCTTCCATGGCGGACCCAGAAGTGAAACCTGTGAGGGATTGGAAGCGCAGGGCAAGCTTGTTCAGATCAAAGAGCTCTCAAGAGCCCAGGAAACAAAACCGTAGGGAAAGCATGGTGCTGAGCCCGCCTGTTCCAGACAGAATGTCGAGGGCAAATTCAATGACCTGGGAGAGTCAGCAGGAAATGGACATTTCCAGGCAGTTGCAAGTTGAGAGGTATGGTCAACTCCCAAGCATTTCTTCGCAAATACTGACTAACGGCGGCTTTAGCTGGCATGTTCCCGGGAATCGTCAGTCCATCAACTACAATCTCATGTCATACGAATCGAGAAGGCTCCTGAACCTCAACGAAGATCTCACCGCATGCGAAGAGAACTCGATGGTGTCTGAAAGCAAGTTCGAGGTGTCACCGAATACTTGGAAAAGTTCGCATCCGCACCAGCCAGTCCTTGCACAATCAGTCAGCGCTCAGCTGCCTCTACCCCGAGCCAACTCAGATTTGGCACTGTATGCACCCGTACGGCGACGTTCCATGATCCAAACTCCAGGTCTTGCGACCCGAATGCCGTCAGAATATGCTTCATCTAGACGGTCGAGTGTGCGGCACAGCATGCCTACAACGCCAGCAGGAGGGCGTTCGCGAATGAACTCATTATCGGTCGACTCGAGCGCATATCCGATCCCGACGTTGGAAGAATACGTCGCTGAGCGATTCGCCTCGGAGCCCGAATATCTGTGTGAACCAGTGGCGGAACCTGTCGAAAGAGCCTTGACCCCTTCTGATATGGATTACCGGCCGCTAGGTGCTATGAAGTTTGGCTCGCTGCGGATCACGAATGGAGAGGCCAGCCCGCTTCCAAGTCCGGATTTTGAGCCAGCAGTTCAGGTCAGCATAGCAGAAAAGTCGCAAATGGTTGCTGTTGAGGAGTATTTCAGTCACGAGAACGGATCGGGTGGGACGGGCTTTGAGAGCAAGGACATCGAAATCACGGTCTCGACAGTGCAAGCCAGTGCTACTTCGCAGACACTCAGTCCGATCAAGACTTCGGTTTTAAAGGCAGAATCGCAGAGGCGGCGGTCAACTTCGTTAGTAGTCTCCCTTGCCAATTCGTGCAGACGGCGCCATGTTGTGTAAGGCACCATGAGACGGCTCACGCTGACTCAAATATAGGCCACTCAGTCCAGAGTTGAAAATATCATCCAAGCACACAGCAATGGAAGACGACCTTTTTGCGGAAGAAGATGAAGATGTGCAAATGGAGTACTCTGTCGAGGTCCTGACGGTCAGAAATGACCCGAACGCAAAACCAAGTTTCGAGCGACTGAAAGCGGATCAGTCTCAGAAACATTCCCGAGCAATTGCACGCGCCGACAGTGGAGTCGTTGCTAGCCCGACCACTGAGCACCAGCCCAAACCGCTGTCCAAGGCCGATTCCGGCTACAGTTCTAATGTCTCGCTGAGGTCGTTTCATGCCAAGCAACCGTCTGCAGGCAGCCGTCCAGCTGGCCGTGCCGCATCGGAGGATTCGGGCGATGAACTGTCAGACTCAGCCGCATCCCCAACTGTAGCCGTCAGCGGCAACAGGCTGCAAGTCAGTGTTCTTAAGACTGACATCCGCCCTGTTGATCCTTCACAACTTGGCGCCTCAGTTTCTTCGTCTCTGCCCCCGAAGGACGATTTTCTTGTCTCTCCGACTAACAACACAATGACGGTCACATCGCCCAAGTTCTTCTTCAACCTCAGCGCCGGTCATTCCTTCCGCAAGGACCGGAAATCTCCGGCCCCAGCGTTAATTGACAGCACTCAATCGGCCAAACAAGGCCCCGCTTCTCCGGCCGCCATTCGTTCTCCCGGAGCTGCTTCCGAAAAGTCAAATTCCTCCTTGAGCATTGGCAACGGCTTGCAGAAACCTGGCAAGTTGCAAAGACTTCTCAGCGGCTCTGGGATGCGAGGACCCCCGACCGTTCACGCAACGCATCCGTCTGACGAAGAGATACCCTCGGTACCCCAGGATGTTCAGTCAAAGCTTGAGGAGCACTCTGGTCGGTTTCCTATCACAACCAAGCGATTGACTCTTCGTGCGCAGGCCAGTAAAGAGACTCTCAAGACCATTTTCAGTGTCGGAAGCTTCGATGCCGGCCATGCCGACGACAAGCGCAGCTCTGCGCTCCTGGTCGATGCCACTCAGGTTGTGAGCGAGGTGATAGCAGAGACGCCTGGACCCTCTGAGAAGCCCAAGTCACCCTACCGCCGTTCCTTTCAGACTATGCCAGCCTCGTTCGCTCAAGCTGCGGCTTCTGTCATGCCGCGGCGCTCTATCCACCGCAAGCCAGTGCCTTCTGGCGTTGCGAGCAAGGCCGAGTTTATCGGCGAAGCCAGAGCCGACGAGATCCAGGTCGGCTTCGAGTCGAACATCACGGCCATCGACAATGTCGGCGAGAGCGTCGGCAAGAGTGCTTTCGACCAAGCTTTCATGGCGCTACCTCGTGAACAGCCTGTTCAGACCCAACACAGTCGTACTCTGACAATGCCGGCGCACATGGAACGTGAGATTGGGCTACGATTTCGTCCCACCGAGCCTCTGCCTCCGACAAGCCGCCACTCCGAATTCGCGTCTCAGAGTCTGCAGGTTCCCGAGGTGTCAGTGAAGAGGAAGACTTCTCCGCCCGTCAGTCTGCATACCCGCAGTAGCACCAAGAGTCCCCGAAAGCCAGTGCCAGTGCGCCCCCAGTCATCCTCGTCCAGCGAGGCCAGCCGAAGACAAACCTTGTCGAGGCAGAACAGCCGCGAGACCATCCACAGCTACCCATCGGCGTTGATGGGGGCATCACTCGATGACGCTCTTGCTGTGCCGCCCATTCCGCCAATGAGCCCTCGCAGGGGCATGACGATGCTCGAGAAGCAATACGCCAGGCGTCGCTTGACGACTGAGGACAAGTGGCGCCCTACCAATGGTTCTTTTCCCGAGTTTGGCCAGCCAGTTACACGCAGCGCCTCCACCAACCCAATGGCACATCAGCAGCAGCGACAACTCCGTCATCGATCAAGCTACGACAGTTACTCGCAGTACCGGGGACCTGTTGCACGCGGACATTCAGTTATCAACCAGAGCCCGAGTCAAAGCGGCAGTTACTACCAGCAGCAGCTCTTAAACATCCAACAGCAGCAATGGGAACAGCAGCAGTACTACTCCCCCGACGCCGTTCAGCCGGGTCTTTCCAGAAGCCGCAGCCGGAGCCGTAGTGTGCACGCAAACGGTGACCAGCCCTATAGAGTCCTCCACAGCTACAACTCGCCGGCGTACCGCAACGCACCAATCTGGGGTTGAGTCTTTTTTCGGTGGCGTACCAAATGCAGTAGCTGACCCATCATTTCACTTCTCGAGGTGGCCAGTCCCCTCATACATAATTGCTCTTTTTTGAGCGTCCAATACGACATCAACCGATTCTCGCCAACTTGCGCAAGCTGGCGCTGGTTTTGTCTACAAAGTTCTCTATGTACAGTCTTGCAGCATACGCATTTCACGATCAGGCTAGCAACACCGATCGTCTCGGCATGAAACTCGCGATTTACGGATTTTACAGAAATGCGAATTATTCCGGTCGTTTTCCTTTGACACGAACACATACACAACCTCGGATATACCCAGTGGTAAAAAAACACAACGGCCTGATGAAACACGGATAAACCGGCCAATGACATTTCTTATACCCGATATCGAAACAAGAGGGGGGGTTCTTTTTTTCGAGGCTTTGTTCATTTCCCAATTCTTGGAACGGGCGGTAACACAGTATACGTCATTCTTGGGGAAACGTCTGCTTGAAACTTGGTTTTGATTTTGCGCCGAACGGAGTTTGGAATACCCACTTGAAATTGTCCATGATTGGGAATCATTTGGGGAAAGCTGTAGTTCTGGTACACAGCTGAATGGGATAGTATCATCGGGAACAGGAGTGATGCAATAGGTTCATTAGGTTTTCGATTAGACTAGGTAGGGATAGCAAGCAGAACCTGTCTGAACAATATCGATGAATACGAACATGTTTGTTTCAAAATTGACCATCGCTCCGTGTTTCTTTGGCGCAGATCGATCGGACATGGGGTCCATGACACTGAGTTGAGGAGAAGAAGTCTTCTTCCACACGGAAACGACGCTGCCGATGTAAACACATGTGATTGACCAAAAGACAGTGAAATCCTTGGGAAACCAGATTCTGAGATGTTCTACAGCGTACTTTTGGTGAGGCATATGTCCTCCATTCTCTGTGTTAATGGCAGCTTTAGGGCAGGTTGAAGGGTAGTCATCGAACGTTGGACACCTTCCTGCCACGCCTGCCTCACCCACGAGAGCTAACGCCACACTTTCACCGAGGAATGTTCCGCACAGACCAAGGAGAACGCGAGAAAACGTGGGAGCCGGGACACTACCTTAGGTACCTACCTTGGCTGCGGGAAACAGTGGGGGTAGGTTGATGTACTGGGAGGAGAGGTAGAAGTATCTCTCCACGACCGTTAGAGATGGTATCCCCCAAACGGACAAGTTCGTTTCTCCTTTTTAACAAGTATGACAGAATAATGGAATATTAATTCGAGGAATGCATTGATTCATCTCGATAGATACAATTTAAATCAGATTAATATCATGAATTGATAGTAATTTCTCCATCCGGCGACCTAGAAGTCTCCGAGCAGAGACAACTCTGGGAAACTTGACGTTGAACCCCCCTCATGTGTACTTGCTCAACAGGGATGGTACAAGGATTCTCCACTATTTATATTCCCCTTAACGCGTCGCGTCTTGGTGCAATTAAGTTAATGGGATGAAGATTGATGCTGGGAACCCTTTCTATGTGACCAAACCTTTGCTATATCAGACACCGTGATGGATTCCCAAGCTCCCACAGTTGACTCGATACTTAAGACTGAAAAGGAGCTCCAGGCGAGTGAAGCTATCACAGCTCAGACGACCGCCACTGAGCCCAACACCAGCGACAACGAGGTCCCGGCCGGGCCCAGTGGAACCGGGGACACCGCAGCCAGCCACGGAAACGATGATGACACAGCATCTGTAGCCAGTAGCGCACTCTCAGAGGACTGGAAGCGCTCCTTTGAAGATGACCTCACCGAGGCGCTTGCCGGCATCCAGACACAGGGCACCTTTGCCTCGTTCCACCCTCTGAAGCGCGTGGACCTTGACCTCGCCGTCCATGATGTCGGACCCGTTACCCTGCCGCTGCCGGAGCCGACGGTGCGGCAACTGATCGAAAAAGCCACTCGTGCTCCGTTTGGTAAGGGTAGTGAGACCATTGTCGACACTGCTGCACGCAACACGTGGAAGCTGAATCCCTCGCAGTTCGAGCTCCGGAGTCCGCGCTGGCCGGCGGACTTGCAAAAGATATGTGCTGTCGTAGCAAAGGATTTGGGCGTCACGTCGCATGTGACGGCGGAGCTGTATAAGCTTTTGATTTACGAAAAGGGGGCCGTATCCAAGGCTCATACCGAGTAAGTCAGTCTTTAGTGTGTTGTCCTTTATGGTGCGTGAAGATGAATTAGATGGCTGAGACTACACGGGTTATCAGCACTGAGAAATACCCCGGCATGTTCGGCACGCTCGTCATCTGCCTTCCCTGCAGCCACGGGGGAGGCGACGTAGTCGTCAAGCACTGCGGCGAGACGAAGACGTTCCAGACCTCGGGAGTCGACCAGTCCTTTGCGTGCTGGTACTCGGACGTCCACCACGAGGTCCTGCCCGTCACGGAGGGCTACCGCGTGGTACTCACTTACAACCTCACCATCGATTCGGCGGCGACGGCCTCACAGCAGCGGCCCTCTGCGACGCTGCGGAGGCAAGAGACCGGGGCGCTGAGGCACACGCTCCGGCGGTGGCTGGAGAAACCCGAGCAAGGCGGTGTCGATCACGTCTACTACGGCCTGGCTTACGAGTACACCGAGCCCGGCATCTCGATGAAGGCGCTCAAGGGGCGCGACGCGGCTGTCGTGCAGACGCTGCAGGAGCTCTCTGCGGGGCTCGAGTTTGACGTGCTCCTGGCGCTGACGGAGAAGATGGAGATGGGCCCGGCAGTGTACGAGGGCAGTTCGCGGTATTCGGAAAATAGACGGAGCCGGCGTGGGAAGCGGAAGCGGCTGGCTGATCGTTTTAATGATTTTGATGGAATGGATGGATACGATTCGTGCGGTGTGCCGTATGAGGATTATGCATCCAGCTCGGACGGGTTCGAGGAAGATCCAAATGAGGCGGGCATGTCTCATGACATTGAGGATGTGACGGACGAGTCGTTGTCTGTCAAGGTGCTTGTGGACTTGAGCGGGCGCCCGATACTCCGTGATATCGCGTTGGATTGGAAGAATGTGCTTGATGCTAGCGAGTTCTTTGAAGGCGTTGAACGAAAGGAAGAGTATGAGGAATACCACAGCTGGGTAGGTCTTCGATCCAGAGGAGTGGCAGATACGTTTGTCATGTTGACAGAGATGAACTACAGGGACCAACAGTTAGCCACCGGTATTGCGTAACAGTGAGCTTTTTGTTCCCCTTTCCCTTCGCGGCTTCTAGCTAATGTTGGACTCAGGCCGCGCTCATCATTCGCCGAGACAGGATCCCTTCATTCCTCAAAGCCAGTACAAGGTCGGGACGGGATCACTACCAGGACAGCGCTGTACTGGTCGATTATCTCACAGATTCGATCCTCAAGGCCTCGTCGAACAGCAAGTCGTCATTTGAGACACTTAAAGACGTATGGGATACGTCGGTCCCTCGTCCAGGCAGGCGCACCCAAAAGGCTGAAGACGAGATCCTGTGCAAAGTGTTGCGATCTGCTTTGGCTATGAAGGATTGGGACTTTTTCGAGAAAGTCAGCAAGAAAAAGGCTGAAAAGGGGCTGGACGGGCCACTGCCCGCGGGCTACTATCAATTACTTCACGCAGAGGTCTCGCAGGGCAAAGCGGACTTCTCTCAGATCAAAAACGGGTGCGTTCTCTCCCCGATATCCAGCCCATTCTTTCAGGTTCGCGTCCTAACCGCGTTATCGATGTTCTAGCTTGACTTTCACAGTATCCAGGGGTCGGTATTTCTTCGAGATCTTCGAGGCGGTTGAGGCCTTTGTCCCAACCGATCAGCCCCTGTCTGACGAGATTCGGGAGTGGGCACGAGCAACGCTCACCAAAGGCCTCAAGGACATTGCCGATACCGCGATCTTCGTCCGTCAAGATGGACTGGCTTTAGTGACGAGCGCTGAGAAGTATGCTGACTTTGGTTGGCTTTCCTCTGAGTAAGTCTCTCCCAAGAAACCCTAATCACAGCTAGGCGTACATACGACTAACTCTTACTTGCAGGGCGATGCCCTTGATCGAGGAGCTACTTGTACGGACGCCCGCTTTTGCACTAGAGGTCCTATCAGCACTGCTCTCATGCGCTAGACGAAAGGCCTTTCCGGTGACTCTGGCCGTCAACTTGTACAAGAAGCTCGCCAAAGACCTCATCTCTATGCTCGATCTCGAAAGGGTCCACGGGCCCAGGGAAGACGACCCAACCCATAAGGCGGCGAGGTTCACATACGGCCAGACGGCGCCGTCCCCCCCCGACCACCGCCTCGCCTTGAATCACGTCGCCCTGGCAGACCTCTTTTCCGGCCTCACCAAGCTGGCATCCTCCCCTCCGCAAGAAGACCTAGTCCTGCCACTGGCTCTCAAAATCGTCAGCCACGCCCCCAACATGCACGCCCTTGACTTCCCCGTCCTCTGGATCCCGCTCCTGCACGAACTCTTCGCCGTCCTGGAAGCCACCAAGACGCCGCTCGACACCCCGCGCTACCAGCAACTCTTCGCCGCCGTCCTCGAAGCCTACCGCGATAACTACGTCGGCTCGAGACCCGTCCGCCCGTCGTCCGGTCAGCTGGGGAGCGGCATGTACCTCGTGCAATTCTGCACCTGCGGCGATTGCAGCAAACTGGACAACTTCCTCGCGAACCCGGCGCAGACGTCACTCCGCCTGATCATTGGCGCCAAGAAGCAGCGACACCACATGCACAGGGTGATCGAGGAGCACGACATCCGGGTCACGCATGAGACTGAGCGGTTTGCGCCTGGAGGCCCCACGATGGTTATTAACAAGGTGGGGCAGACGGATGTTGCGAAGCAGCAGGTGAGGGCCAAGGAGGCAGAGGAAGCCTTCAAGGCTTTTGATCAGACCAAGTTGGGTGTATTGCTGGGTGAGGATTATCCTGCTATTGCGACAGCATTGTGGCAGCGGCCGGTGAATCTTGTGCCAGGGCGGGGCGGTGTAACGTATCCGCCGGCACCGATCCCAGCTCCGGCACAAATGTCAGCCCCGGCTCCGGTTGCGGCACCAGCTGCAGCTTACGTTCCTGCTCCGGTTCCAGCTCCAGGGGCCGCTGCGGCAGGTTATGTACCGCCGGGACATACCATTGTGCCGGCAGTTGGGCCCGCGTGGGTTCCGCCGCCCACGGACAGACATCAGCCGATGACTGGGTCTGCCTGCGGCCCGCCGCCGTCACATTACAATAGGCCAATAGCCGGACCATCGTCCGTTCCTCCGCCTATGAGCGGCGCTCAACCGATGAATGGTCCCCAGCCGATGAACGGGCCGGCACGGGTGACTGCAGGAGTACGAGCAACAACCAGGGCTTTTGCGCCGACGACGGGCAATGCGGGATCGCCGTCGCGATCACCGCCCTCGGGTCTGAACGGGATGGGCCTGGTTGCGGCTTCTGGGCCAAGTCGGCCTCCGCCACCTATTGCTGGGACGAAACGAAAAGCAGGGCCAGAGATTATTGATTTAACTTAGGTGACTAGTCACTATAATTGGATGATGTTCTTTTAGCGTGCTATTGATATGTTCTTTCAGAAGCTGCACCACATGCTCCTTGGTGAGCCGTCATAGGCTGAACTGATCGGTCGTCACGACATCACGAACGAGCTGCGCGTCATGACAACGTAGCATGGCCAATATGAAGCATATTCATCTTCAGTCCCGCTAGCCCATTACCATGGATCACGACTGATTCTTGGGACAAACCTTGTCCACCGCGCTGTTCGCACAAGGAAACGTGTCGGGACAAGTGTTGAAGACGTAGAAACCAGTCCCGCAGCACGTGCTGATGCCACCGCAGGAGTCCGCAGGGATGTTACATATGCCAGACTGTTCATTCCCCCACGTCAGCATTTGCATTCTCAGGTTTTGTTTGTTCCGGTCGTTGTAAAACTTACCTCGGAAAAGCGGAAGTCGAACTGCGAGTCGCAGCAGAACCTCGTCTTTCCGATGTCCCCGCCGTCGCCTGCCAAGTTTTGGCAGTAGCCCATGGACCTAGCTGCGATAGCACCGGTCGCGAAGGACGCAGCCGCGAAAACAAGTGTGGCACGCATGTTTAGAGAGTTGTATACCGAAAGGATCGTGGGTAATTGGTGGCAAAGTATGACGAGAAGGACTCTGGCCAATTCACCTACTCAGGGACTTCAACCTCATGTTTATATCAGTCCATCAGACTTTATCCCCGTTAATGAGTAAGGAATTCAAAATACGAACTATCCCACGGGCACTTAATATGCCTTCGAGTCAGGCAAATCGGTAACGGACAGCTGCGTAGTCCGCCTACTCCGTGCTGCGAACCCGCTGGAGGATCTGCGTTGACGAGAAGAGAGTTTGGGCCAGTGCACTCAGCCAGTCATGCTTCACTCGGTACGGGTCAATATAAACGAAATTAGCACTATAGTCCTTCACAATAACTTTCTGCTTTTGCCGATCTCAGGAAATATATCCCTACGGAGTTTTTAGGCGACTACTTCGGGATTCCTCTGTCTCCCAAACTCCGTATTGTGTGCAATGACGTACGCGGTGTTGGTGCATGGGGTTTTTGGGTAAGTTCGACCTACCAGCCTGGTTCCCTTGGAGATTCTGTACAGGAACATGACGATTCGTAAGTCAATTCTTGCATATCAAGTCTGACGTTGAGTGGCTAGTGGCCCTTTCCTGACAGGAACGAAGAAACTAGTCATTCGCAGCATTCGCTGAGGCTTGGGTCTAGGTAGTGCTATAACACTTGGGACCAAGGCAACGAACCTTCCTCCAATGCTTGATCTCTCGAAGCAATTGTCACTTCGAGTCTCATAACGGGTCTTCTGAAACTGGTAATCGGACGTCTAGAGAATAAGGCTCGCTATAACTTGTACAATGCCGGAATTGTGTCCCGTGAGGCTATGGTCCATACACCTCACTCAATTCCTAGACCCCGTTCTCGTTAAAGCTTCTCATCTCCAAAAGAATAGAAGAAAGAAAAAAAGCTCAAAGTCCGCTTTTACTTTGTACTACAGTTGGTTCCCCTTGACGTATTCGTGATAGCAGGAACCAGTCCCAAAGTACGGGAGCTCGGCAAGGACTGGGAGGTTGCGATTTGATTAGGTGCTAACTTCCACATAGCGGCATTCGTCCAACCTAAAGGTCAGGGGCTTCCGGGTCCTCTAGGTAAGGCCGGCTCGTGTCTTACTCGGAGAGCCACGCCGTATCGGAACTTACAAGACTCGTGTTTGCGCTCAGACGCACTTCCGTTATCTTCAAGTGTTTTGAACCAATAAACATTTCTTTCTATAATATAGACTTCGATTCATAGCAAAGATCAGCAAATCGGGCGTATGTAAGGTACTAGAAACAGCTCAGCGTGGCCTCTCCACTCTCCCGTTCCCCCCCAAAATGAGATGGCTCGGACCAATTCAGGAACGCTGGCCTTATAGCGGCCCCTCAAAAGTAGCTCACTAGCATAGACCTTATGCACTATTGCCAGTTTGATCACACTCCTCTGCGGGCTTCATTCCTTATACTAACTTGCTAGAGCAGTGTAAGGCTATATAAGGTTCTTTTAGGGTGCACTAGGTACGGTGTCTCCTCGGCGAAGACGATTACCATGATTTTGCCTCGTGTTCTCCGGCCATCAACGGCAGCCACGCACGTGTGGCTTGCTTTATCTTCTCAATGCCCTGTGGATGTCGTTTTTAAACTCTTGCCAAGCCCCCGTCCGATAATGAAGGCTTCGCATGGACGATGGCGTGACTGAATACGAGACGACTTGTTTAGTTGAACATCTCGAATCAAAGATCGGAACACCGTGGCTCAATTCTCTCTTTGTTGAATTCCATGCTGGCGGAGGAGATACCGAACGCTGCTAGCGTCGTGTTCCGTTTGCGAAACTCTGCTTCAAGATGACAAAAGCGCAGCATCCCTGCCAGTTCGTCCACACCTCAGCCCTACCGCATTACTGTGGTAGACAAGATGGATTCTCAGGAATGAGTTTCCGCTCGATCCTGCGTGCCTGCCCTTGTCGACCACGCCTAGCCCAGCGGAGCAGCTGTCGTTATCAGACTAGGGTAACAGATGAACGGGGTGTCGGCTGGCGATGGTAAGCTAGAGTATGGGGCACGTGGTAGGTTAGCCACTGTGAGTGTTTCACAGTTAGCGCCATTGCTCTTGCATGCAGATACACTACTCGAAGCACCGTCGAATGCCCCCCTAACCTAACCTGCGAGGCGACCAGTCGTGTGAACCTCTTGAAGAGAGCGGTTCCGCGGACCTTGGGGGCCGCACTGCAGAACGACTCCTTAGGTAGAACGAATTCCATATTCAATTTGTCGGGATCTTGCCGCGAAAGCTCTCAGGTCTCGTTTTGTTTTCCTACTCCCCGAAGTTGCTTTCCCCCACGAAAGACTTTGCCTTGGCTGCCGATTTTGAGTTCACAGTCACCCAAACAGCCGACTGGTACAGCTTGATCGCGACGATGAAATCTATGCTGTTGAGGACAGGTATCTTGGCGGCTTTTGCGATAGTGGCAGGGGCAGAGTCAATTTTTGATATAAATTCAACGGCACTCACCCAGTGGCTCGCTACAACGCCAAAATGCTCGGTACGTAATGATTCCCTTGATTTGGTACATAGTGCCTTGTCGTGGACTTCAACACCAGTCCAACCTGAATCCCACTTCAACAAACCCTTATACAAATCGCCTTAGACGTCATGCTTCTCCGAGCCACTCTCATCCGGAAGATGCCAACTTAACGGAATTGCGAAATGCGCCTGTACGAACGACGAAATCCAACTTCGAGTCTCTACTTGTGTACAGCTATCCTGTGACTTTCCTGATCAAGTCGGTGAGCACATACCGCTACCCGACACTATGAGCTCTATACTAACATTCAGCTTGTCCAGAGGCTTCACGAAAGTCCCAGATTCTGTGTTATGAATACCCAAATAATAACCAAAAGGGAAATGCTCCTCTATATGCTATCGCGCTACCTTCTATCACATCGGTCATTGTATTATTAAGATGTTTCGCTCGTTGGATCGTTGCCCGTCAGTTGTGGTGGGACGACTATGTCACATTACTGGCCTTGGTATGTTCGTCGGTACTCCTATCTAATGACTCTTTCCTAAGGGCTAACAATCTCAGGTCTTACTTGGTGTTCTTTCAGCATGTGGTTTGGCCAGTAAGACACCTACGATTTCGCCTCAAGGCAGTAGGGAGAGTTGTATGCTGACATTACTCTGCAGTCGTTGCTCTGGGGTTTGGGAAGCATTACTGGGCCATCAACCCCGATTCAGCAAAGACGCTTCTACAGGTAAAAAGTCCTTTGCAAAGTGTTCCTTGACGATGAAGCATCTAACCTGTATCACAAGTCGTTCTACGTTATGCAAATTTTTTATGTTCTTTTGAAGTCAGTTTCCAAAGCCTAGTCGGGAGCATTTCTAAGCTAAACCTCACCAGTGTTACCGCAAAAATCGCAATCTGCTGTTTTTACATCCGAATTTTCCCCAAACAACGATTCCAGCTGGTTACGAAGGCCGTTATCGGTCTGCTTATCGTCCGCGGTCTTGTTATCGTCTTCCTAATCTCGTTTCAATGCGTCCCGATTACTGCGATCTGGGATAAGTCGGCTCAAGGAAAGTGTCTTAACCTGACGGCTATCGGGTATGCGGGTGCTGCCGCTAGTATTACCGAGGATGTGGTATTACTTATTATGCCGATCCCAGAGCTTCTACATTTACAGCTTGGCCTGAAGAAGAAGCTGGGCCTAGTCCTTATGTTCTGTCTCGGCTCCTTGTAAGAAATCCGCTGCTGGCTCGATTGGAGATACTAATGAGGCACTCAGTGGGTGCATTGCAAGCATCGTTCGACTAAAGTACCTGGTCTCTTTTGCATATAGCTTCGACCCAACATGTGAGTCACCACCCTAAGGAAATACGACTACCCATGAGCGGCAGTGGGTGCTGACCAATTTTCTCCGATAGGGGACAACTCAGACATCATCAGCTGGAGTGGCATCGAGGTCAACGTTGCTATCATTTGCGGTAGCTTGCCAGCATTGCGGGTCCTGTTTCAGTATCTACCAAACCCTTTTACCACAAGTGAGAAAGCTGGAAGTGAGAGTATTCACTCTCTGCAAAGAGTAACAGAACAAGAATTAAGTAAGGCTTGAGGGGAGTCTCTAAACCTTTCTCTTGATGGCTGTACCCCGGTGCTAGCACTGTTGTGGCGTTGGCCAAAATTCCTCACTGACCTCGTCGGCCCACCTCTTCCCCGCGTTCTGACCCTGCAATCGTCTCATTATCTTTCCTATAGATGGCTAAAGCTGGCGTTACTGTATCCCCGTTGGGAAATGAGGAGATAGAGAGGAGTGCAGGTGACAAACAAATAGGTAGCAAAGACTATGACATTGACCGCAAGCTCTCAAACCCGAGCCACGCCAAAGTGAAGAAAACGGCCAAGGATCAAAGTTCAAGAAGTCACAGCTTCGTGAACTTGGATGACCAGTCAGCGTTTCCCGAAACGCCGATGTCAAGTCCGCCGCAGAACGCGTTCACCTCACTTTCATTCCCAAACGCAGTCAGCGAATCAGACATCAAACCTTTCGGGCGTGTGGGATGAGAACGAGAAGTGGGACTCTCAGCTTCGGCCAAGACAAAATCGCGATGGCCCTTGCTCAGTTGAAAACCTGCAAGTTTCAGCCTACTATTCGCATATGTCATCGCCTGCGCGCTCTCAGAGTTATGCTCATCTGCACCCAATTGAAGCTACGAGATCTCGGTTGAAAGCTTTTTGAATGGAATCTTGCCAATTGCAACCTGGCAGGCCGCATCGCACCGCGAGCCTGAGTCGCTCACCACGGAGGATGTTGGAGGTGTCGGGAACGACAGGGGAGGTCAACCCTGAAGCCACCTCAAAGCATCAGCCACAGTATGTTCTCATCTCATCCTCACTATGTGACTGATGATCTAAGTAAGCTGTCATGTAGCAAGTAAGCTTATTCCGCTACACTCTCCACTCCTGCAGTGATTGACATCATGGAGATGCTGTGTCAATGGAAAGGCAGCTTGTCGAAGACGCAGATGTCTTCAGCTCAGGTTGCGTCGGCAACCATCAGCGATCCCGCCGCCAGTCAACTGGGACATCTCAGGAACACCAATTGAAAGGGCCATGTTCCATCATGTACGCACATGCACAGTTGCGGGCTTCGGAGCTATCTCCTTCCTGGAGAAGCTATGGCACAATTACATCATCCCATTGGGATACTATTCCGACTCAGTTAAACACGCCCTGATAGCCTTGGGGTGTGCACATCGAGGCTTCATAGGTGACTACAAAGAAGAAGATCAGGCTGCGGGCGCGCAAACATACGATCTGCTAGCAGTTCAACAATTCTCCAAGGCCATGAAGTTCACGACTCAGGATATGGAAAGACTTTCGCCTACCACTCTCAGGACATCGCTCGTTTCTTGTTTGATATTCATCTGCTTTGAAATCATGCAGGGACGTTACGACAAAGCTATGCAACATCTTAGATCCGGCTCCAGCATCATGGTTGCCCTGTCGAAAGCGGCAACGGATGCTCAGGCAGGATTACCTCTTTCGGTGCACCACAGATGTCTGGCTGAGACTGTCAAGGACTATTATGATCAGTTATGCGATCTTGCTGACATGTTCACCTGCTTGGGCTGCGATGCTGCCTACTTACTGGAAGAAGGGGAAGTCATTCCTGACCTGTCTTACTTCTTTCGGAGCAATAGCAACGAAGATGCTTCCAAGCCTTACTCCTCCGCCACCGAGGCTCGATACGATCTCCACCTTGTAGACCAAGCTTTCGGGAAGGCTTTACGATACAATGTTCGAGGTAGAATTCCGATGAATCCGATATCTTGGACCTCATTCTTGAATTTGCCAGAGAGCATGTCACCACTAAGAGATGACGACCGGCGGCTCGGGGAATGGCTTACAGCTCGCCATCTCTTTGATATCTTTAGTAGTCGGCTTGCAACTTATACTGAGCATCTCAAGTCAAGCTCATCAACAACCAGACAGCAGTTATGGGAGGCACGGCTAATGTCAGTCATGCAAAAGGACTGGTCGGTCATCATCAAATGCTTGGAGACTCCGAGCTCACAACCTCTGGATCGACAATATTTTCAGGATCTTTTAGAAGATGCTGAATCGCTCATATACGCCGAGGCCGAGCCGATGCAGTATCCAGTCTTTACCCTGGGTGCGGATGTGATCCCGCGAATGAGCCTCATTGCCGGGTTCTCTGGTGAGCTGGACCTGCAGCAAAGGGCCATTTCGCTGCTGTATGCCATGCGAAGGAAAGAAGGCATGTGGGATAGTCGGGAGATTGCGAGTGTGCTAGAATCTATCTTGCTGGCTAGGGAAAGCAGCATCTGGGACATGGAGTATGAGAGGATCTCTCTTCCGCGAATAGCAGGGATGCTGTTATCGCTGAAGCTGTATGATGGTAGCAGTACGTTACCTCTGGCTACGCTGGTAGACTAATGCTCTAATTCACTGAGATACAATGGTTGTCGTTGTAACGTGTAAGAGCAGCCTGCAACTGTTCACGAAATTTGCAGATAGCAGAGCACGCTCACTGCTACAGCTTGACCTTGTTTTGCCTGTGTAACCCTGTTTAAACTTAAATATAGCCTAGTAGTGGCATTCAGGCTAACCTAGCTTCCCGTGCCTCATATTCCCGCGTGTAGTCACCCTTATCCATCACTGCTGCACGCAGAATAGTAGGTAGGGAACGAGACGAGAACGAAGGAATATGATTACTGCAGAGCACATCATGACATGCTATAGTTCTCTCCACTAGATTGCTCTCAGAATGATGACTCTCAGGACCTCCCCATCCTCTTCTCTAATTCCCACACACCACGAGAGTGTTATCCCTACTCCCACCACGCTACGTCCGTCTCCCTGAAAGTGTTGCTTCCACAATGGACCTCGCCAAAGGTGTGGTGATGCGACATGAAATCGTCCACAAACCCGACCTCCATACCAGCCTTTGCATATGCCTCCCGGATGGCAACCTCCAAGATGTCTCGTCCCTCAACCACGGGACCCCAAGTCTTGGGACTCACGTAGTAGTTGCCCAACACGACGCCATTGATAGCCGCCGGGCTGAAGCTCACTAGCAAATACTCGCCCTTTGCTACCGTTTCAGTCAATGAGGAGAGCGAAGACACCTTGGGAGCCTTGAAGAGCGAGGGGATGCGAATCACATGATCTCGAAGAATAGGTATTTCAGCGAGCAGGATTCCCAGATTAGCATCAATATGTCTCTGCGCATAAGCGTTGACCTCGTGAAATGTCTCGTTTGCAAGAAGCTCATCGACTGTCATGGCCAGCTCCTCTTTCGTGATAGAAAAGGAGCCCTCAACAGACCCATTGAAGGAAATCGCCCGCACACCGCCATGCCCCGCTGCTGAGGTGTTTCTGAGCAAGTCGAGGGCGGTCATGGTGTCAGCGATACCAATCGTGAAGCCAAGGCCCGTCTCGTTGGAAGGTAGAAACTGGACGAACTCATCAACATGACCGATGAGTAGCCATCCAGACTCAAGGAAAAGGGGGGTCTGAAGCTCTTGGCCTTCCAAGAAGGCAATCGTGGCTTCCGCTGGCATCTTGTCATAATGCTTGCCATGGATGATCCGGCCGGCAGGATATTTGACTCCACTCTTGGACGTGTAAGGTGGGATCGTTTCGAGGTTGCCGTATGCGTTGATTTCTCGGGCGCCATAGCCGCCGCGTCCCCCCTCAGGCTGGAAACCACCAACACTTTTCCCGCGAAGCTGCTCAAAGACCTGTCTTCCAGCAGTACGAACTGACTGTGCCGACCTCAACATAATTCTGAGCGAGATCGGTTGGCCGTTAGGTCCAGGCATGCTAGCATACGCTGGTTCAACAAAATCCTGTGCCCAAATATCGTCACTCTGATTGAACAGATACAATGGCTCCTGTATCCCTGCCGCCTTCCGCGCCTCGTCAAGTCGGCTGAGAAAACCGAGCTGTACAGGATCAGACTCGTTTGCCGCAGTACTGACAAAGGCGCTGACACGTTGGAGATGGTGATGGGTCAGAACTGGAGCCACCTTGAGCTCAACGGCGTCAGATATGACAGTGCCATTAGCGTGAACATCGAAGTGCACCCTCACTTTGCCGTCCCATTTTGTCAAATCCTTCACAAACTCACGCCCGTCAATCCCGAGAGTGATACCCGCTTGGACATGGCTTGCATTGAACGTAAATTCAGCATCCACAAAGCTCCAAGAGGCAGTCTCGGCGGGATTGGCCGACGAGTCGTTCAGGTAAAAGAGACGAACCCTTTCAGATGCGGCATCAGGCGTGGCGTAGATGTGGGCAATAGTGTCGTTTGAAACTTCCAATGGGATCGTCTTCAGGGGAGCAACCAGGCTTGGCTCAAGGAGTAGGTGGCCAGAAGCATCGTGACAAGATGCTAGCTCGTGATTACTGAGAGGATTACCCTGAAGATCCTGATTAGGACAGCGTTTGAGAGAGTCGCCGACGTTGGGCAGGAAGATGGCGCCGCGAGAAGGGGTCCAGAATGCTCTGTCCGTGGCGTCGCTGTCATCGACGATACCGTCACGGTTGGTATCTGCGAGAATCATAGGCTTAGGCTGCTGGCCATGAACTGCTCCGAAATGCAGCGTGACCAATACAATGGCCACAGCCTTGGCTGATAAATGCATCTCGAGATAAGTCTGATGAGGAGAATGTTCGAAAGGCTCATGTAAGAAGACGCCGCTGGTTGTATCATTCCATACACTATCTAGTTGGGGTGTATGATTACTCTTTATATCAAAGAAGGACATACTCAACAATGAGTGCGATCATCGAAAAGCATTCGATGGTAATTCCAGCCTTCCTCTCAAGAGTTTCCCTTCAAGATACCGGCATCCAGTATTGAGGCCGTAGATAGTAGCAATCACGGTTAAGAAAACCATTTCCACCAATAAACCGCGTCAATACGCCGTATTAGGAAAAAGTTGTACATGAGATGCGCTCACGATATATCAAAAGTCGGTGTTACTATCTTACGAAGCCACATTGACTAACACATGCAACTGGGATCGGGGGCCGTGATCACCGGCTCCGGACCCAGGGGCCAAAGGACCATAGACCCTACTCATATGCTGGCGGAGGCGTACGTCATGGCATCCACTGTTGCCCCGTTACCAGCTACATTATGCTTGTTGAATTTGTCGAAAGTTTGGCCATGTCCGTAACTGCAACTCTTACCTCTCGAATAGTTTGTTGCCAAGATCAATTGCCCCGACTTTGGGCCTAACCTCAGGAGAAATCGAACTCTTTCCTTGCATCACACACCAACTGCAGCGGAATATTCGGAACCCGAATACGTATGGAGAATGCGTCGGGTGCCTAGCTCGGTACGTTTTCTTCTGCTATGAATCTCTTGATCTCATCTGACTACCTAATAGGTATGCCACGAATGAACGTAAGAAAGTAGTTTTGATGATATGGAAGATAAGAAAACATTGCTCTCATAGACGTAGAGATATATTTACGCCGTAGCCTAGGCGACATGTTTCTAATTGCCGCACCTCTTCAAGCATTCGTCCTGGTTGTAGCTATCATCAATTATCTGTTAAACACGCCGCGACCAACAAAGAGTAGGCCAGAGCAAGAAAGTCGTAGGCAGCGGCTATGTTGCGATGAAAAATGAGCAAGTTGCCCGAAAGAAGTCACGGAAGTCGCGCGCGTTACTGACGGTTGACGAACGAAGTGTTAACTCTAGATCCTCAACCCTGTGCATTCCTCGATCCCGATACTCTACCTTGAAATACAGGCTCGCCCTTCTTTTATCACTTTCGAGCATCCGACGCCCTTAATCTTGCATTGCCGCCCTACTCCGCTTGTTTCCGGGATCGACACGTTCTGCCCTTGAGCAATGCCATCCCAAATGGCAGATATGCCGCCACAGCTCCCGGCGTGGGGTTGCTCATTGAGGTTTCTTACTTATCCTTTCTAAACCTTCACCTTGTGACGCAAAAAGATGTCTACAAACTATTGCTGTTCAGCATTTTCGTTCGTCTAACTTTATAGCGATGATAGGAAACACCGGAAACGTGCGTTGAGTATTCTCCGCTCAGCACATATGCGTGGGACAGATTGGTACAGTAACAGTCTAGCCAGGCTGATTGAGACACGATCTGAAATACCGGACGAGAAGCTTGGGAGTCGTAGCGTGTTTCGACAGTTACCATGTAGCCGAGCTGCCATGAGATGGCTGGGGTGTTGGCTGCCAAGCCTTCCGTCTACCTCAAGCACAATCAACACATTACGACTGTTTTGCTTCACTATGACTGTACATATTATAAGTCCGATGTTGGAATCGGTCTCCGTGAGAGAGGTGCTATGCATTCGGCCGAGCCGACCGAGAGATTCAACGCCCGGTAGATATCTTAGCCGTTACCACACCTTGTTGTAACGACTTGCTCAGTAAGCCGCCTCACAATGTAAGGATGTAGCGAGCATCGCCCTTGGGGAATTAGCCTGTTTGAGAAGGAAAAGACCCTCTCATTGGTCGACGGTAGACTAGGCGTGATAGAGACGCCCGATAGCTATGTCAATCGAGGCAGTGCTTAAGGGGGCTTGTGAACTCTGATTTACGGCGACTTGATACCGTTTTCGGGTTCTATGCAACTGCTCCCAACCTGAGTCAAGACCCGCGCGCCGTTACAGTTGTAAGGGGCCAGACGTAGGTAGTCTAGTGATTAAGCTTAATTTATCGGATGATCTACTACAGGCGTAGTTGTTTGGGCTACAGTCGATTTCCGGCCATAAGCTTAAAACCGTTATTAGTGTCAGCAACTTTATCCGAGTAGTTGAGTAGCCTCTAGCCGATCATGGAAACGTAGAGGATCATAGCCAACGTCAACCTTGTCAATGGCCTGATGAGATCCAAGGACGAAAAGCAGCTTCACTAACTTCGTTTTCGCCAAGCCATAGCCTTCGTGTGCTAAGTTCGACTATTACGCGTTCGCCAAGTACTCGGCCTTTAGTCCATCATGTCTACTGATATTGATCATTGTCTCGTGAGTATAAGTTTACTGACATCGGACGAACATCAAGTCACAATGCACCATCTCATCAACCTTTCTCACATCAATCACCCCTCCATTTCAAGATGCGTCTTTCACTCCCTTTGCTGTGTGCTCTCCTGGCCCAGCAAGTCTCCGCGGCTGACATCTCTCTCGGCTTCAACACCCCACAAGTCAACGAAAACCGCACCATCGACGAAATCTACCAAGCCGCCCTAGCCGAAGGCGGCATCGTAACATGCTGGCACGGCGGCGACGAAGTCACCCAGCAAGACGGCCTCAAGCGCGCCTTCGAGACCCGGTTCCCAGGCATGACGCTCAACATCACGGTCAACCGCTCCAAGTACCACAGCGTCAACGTCGACAGACAGCTCGCCTCGGGCAGGCCGCTCGAGGTGGACACCATTATCCTCCAGGCCCTGCAGGACTACCCCCGTTGGGAGCAGCAGGGATCGCTCCTACATTATGCTCCGAATAACTACCTCAAGGTGCTGGCGCCGTTTCGTCATGTGCGCGCGGCGTACTACGGCTTTGCGATGAATGCGTGGTCGACTGTCTGGAACACGCAGAAGCTTGCGAACCCGCCGCGAGAGTGGCCGGATTTCTTGAAGCCTGAGTATAAGGGCAAGATTGTCCTGACGCACCCCAGTGACGACGATGCCATTGCGTACATCTTTGACCTCGTGTAAGATACTCTCAGAAGGTCCTGTTCTTCGAGAGGCAGAGTGCTCACATCTTCTTCTAGCATGCACCAGTATGGTCCCGAGTGGTTCGACGGCCTCCTCGCCAACGAGCCCCGCTGGGTGCGCGGTACGGGATCGCCCCTGGCCGTACTGCGCCAGCCCAACAGCACGCAGTCCGTGACCTTCACCGCCAGCATCGGTCTCCGATCCTCGGGCAGCCTCAACGCCTCCTTCCCGACGGAGGGGCTCTTTGTCAGCTGGCCGAGGTCTGTCGCCATCTTCAAAGACGCGCCGCACCCCGAGGCCTCGAAGCTGTTTGCCAACTTCCTCCTCGATGATGGGTTCCAGCGCAATTCTTCTCAGTGGAGTGCCCGGAAAGATATCCCGGCGCCTGGCGGCTACCCTGGGATCCTTGACATGGATACAACCAACTCTGCCGAGTATCTCCGATTCATGTCGGATCGCGGTAGGGTGGAGGCGCTGAGGATGATGTTTGAGGACAAGATTGGGATGCCGCAGGGACCTAGTCCTCTCGTTGATGACCTTTAGGCCGCCAGATGTCCGAGAGCATATTTGCTTTGTCTTGTATCGAATAGACAGAAACACAGTTCCTACCGAGAACGCCTACCCATTCTCACGAACATAGTAAGAATAGAAGCTTGACTCTGCAAATACCTTGATTATTGAAACCACCGGACTATATGTACTACGAATGTACAAGAAAGAAAAGTGCCCATGAAATAGTTCTAATATGCGCCCGCTCGCTGACTCCAAGCCGGCGCCTCAACAACATTGACCTCTTCGCGACCAGTCGTCACCACCTCGCCGGCATCAAGTCGGAAGTTCTGCACGCGAGCTCCACCGTTGCCGAGTGCCCAGAGGGCCAGACCAATGTAGTTGGTCCCCTGGTACCGGAGGATGCCCTCGGGCACGGGGAACCTGGTCTGCGGACCGATATTGCTCACGTACCGCCCGTATTGGAACCCGTTAACGTACAGAATGGCGCGGTACGCCCCCGTTCCGTTGGATGCTGCGATGTCGTCAAAGACGAAGGCGAGGGGCACATCGAGGTCCGTAGCGGGGATCTGCAGATCCAGTTTCGCGGCGTAAAAGGCCACGCCGGGCGCGTCTGTCCCTTCGAATGGCGAGCGTTGTGTGTTGAGCGCCGATTCGGGTGGAGAGGGGAGGTGATAGCCCTGGCGCTCGATAAAGAGCCCGCCCTCGTTCAACGGGCCGCGGGCCCTGTCGGCGTAGTCCTCGCCGCCGAGGTTCCCCGTAATCTTCCACGTCGTGACGTTCGTTTGGGCGCCCGAGGGGGACGTGATGCTGTAGTCCATGATCCCGCGCGGGGTTTTCATCACGTCCGCGGGGATGACAAAGTTCTCCTCGAGGCCAGTGGTGTCGACGAGGACGGTCAGAACGTACGTTGCGCCCGCGGTGAGGTTGGCCAGGGTATAGTTGGAGGTGTTATCGCCCGCGGCGTCAGGTCCGTTGGCGAAGGAGCCGATAAAGGTGTCGTTGAGCCAGACAGAACTCGCAAAGGCGGAGCCGCCCTGGGTTGTGATGTCAAGCTTGTCTTCTGTGCCAGTTGAGGTGAAGTAGCCCCGGAAGACGAGCGTGCCGGTGTGGAAGCCGTAGTCTGAGGCGAAGAGGGAGACGGGGGTTGTGAGGTTGGCGATTGTGTTGTTCGTGGTTTTGTGGTCGGCGAGAGGCCATGCGGAGTCGTCGTAGCCTGCGCGAATCTCGGGGAGAGAGTCGATGAAGGTCCAGTTGAGTGACTTGAGATCCGGTACGGTGGGTGCGGCACCTGCGAGGGACGGGTTCGCGATCCAGTTGGTTAGGTTATTCGTCGTGTGGTCCAGTTGCTTGCCGTTGACTTCCAGCTTTGTGACTTCCGGGTCGACGCCAATGATCTCTATCTCTGTGGTACGGTTGAAGTCCGCC